GTGTGTGTGTGTGTGTGTGTGTGTGTGTGTGTGTGTGTGTGTGTGTGCGTGTGTGTGTGTGTGCGTGTGTGTGTGTGTGTGTGTGTGTGTTGCATGTGCCCAGTTTCATGTATGTGAGGCTGATGGAAAGTGATGGTATAAGCAAGATTTAACGAGGAGGAAAATAAGCTGACCAATCTCTGTCATCCTTCTACTTTCAAATGTCTTATTTAGACACGCACATACCTCAGGAACCCAGGACTAACTTTTGAGTCACTGAATCTTTCAAGGCTTGTCCTAAGACATAAAATACTGTAATTCTGATACTTTACATTTAGTTTGGGTTTTATGTTTGTTTGTTTTTAAATAGCCAGCTGGATTCAAAGCTATTATTGAGTCAAGATCACACCTTAAGAAAATAATGTATTTTGTTGAAGCAATAATATGTCAAAATATGGCAAAAGGGCCTTCTCCTACTCCGCTCCTGTTTCCTGGAATATCTTACAAAAAGATTTGAAGCTCTCGACCTTGACCTCTCTAAGTGGCTTTAAGAATATGTTGGACTCCTGGCAGGGACCAATGCAGACATGTTCCTGTTTTTAGTTTTCTACATTTGCCTTAGAATCTAGCTGTTTTTTTGTTACCTTTTCCTTTTAGCCATCCTATCTGTAAACAAACAAACAACAAAAAAAAAAAACCCTGCAGTATGACTTTTTATAATTGTTTATTGATGTTGCTGTTGTCCATTGTTGTCATCTTTCTTTGTTGAAATCAGGTCTCTCTTGTAAATGAGTCCTCGAGGCTCAATGGGATTTACCTGTATAAATAAAGGTTGATTGATTGATTGATGTCTAAATGCTGAACATGAAAAATTAAACTGTTTTTTTCCCTTTTGGCTACTCCCTTCTTCAGGGGTTGCCACAGCGAGCTAACTTACATTAAGATTTGGAAATTGTTTTTATGCTGAATGCCCTTCCTGATGTAACCATGGAGCTACTGCAGACCTCATGTGGGCATTGGTGGTCTTGCTCAGGGGCCCAGGGCAGAGCGGATGAGTGTGGGGGCAGGTGGGGGTGCTTCATTTATCTCACCCACAGTCTGTTGTTACAGTCAGTGGGATTTGAGCCAGCAACCTTCTGATCATAAGCTTCTCTAGCCTCTGCGCCACCGCTACACCCCCACTCCCATATGATAAATGTTAATTTTAATAAGAAGCATATATTATTTTTAAGCTTATCCTCCTGTTGAGTCATTCAATTAATTTAAGCGCAAACGTATACAATTTTTAATGCATGATATCTCAATTTCCACAAGTCCAGACACAGATGAAAACAAAAATTAAGTCAAACAAAACAAAACACTTCTACATCCCTCAAAGCGAAGTATAGATGAATAGTTTGGCACTTTAATTGAATTTGATAAAATCTCCAGTTCCTTGCACTGAGATCTAAATATTATATTGTATTACATACTGATGGTTTTGCACAGAATCTGGTTGGTAAACTGAGCTCTAATACTTTTTACAAGTAGCTACACTTTAAACAGCGTATGTAGCAACCAGTCAAAACTAGCTTTGTTAACCCAACGCAAGTTATTATTTGGGACTTATGCTTGATTATTAAAATGTGTGGCAGTGTAGCAATAAAGCAGTTAAAAACTTTTTTTTTTAATTTAGTTACTAGTTCAGCTTCGAAATGTTATAAACATCTTCAAGTAAAGCCTTTAAGATGTGAAGCTGCAGCTTTCTTATGACCTTTTCATACCGTTTTGATGTTTTTCTGGCTATATTCTTGGACTTTGAGTCTCCAGTTGTTAAAAGTCAGTAAATATCTAGTTGTACATCCACAGCAGGTCTATTTTTGTTCAACTGCAAAGTGCACATTTATTCTCAGTGTGTCACCTCCCAGGTGTGTCACCCTGCTGCCAGCCAGCCTGGTGCAGCGAGCACCCTGGAGACTCTGGCTGATGAAGTGGCAGTCAGACAGAAAACCTTTTGAGCTGAACACAACAGACAGGCAGAGAGGCAGGGAGAGTGACCATTTTGCCGTGGTCGTGTAGAGGAGAGCCAGTGCAGACTGTGCCAGGGAACGTCTCCTCTGTACTGCTGCCCGTTCACCACAGGAACTTCTCCGCTGCTCATCCATCTTTTGAATTTCCTGTCAGTATTTATGCATTCCTCTGTTCAGCGCACAAAGCTGGTGTAAATGCACCACATCCCTTCAGTGACTGGAGACCTGGCCTGCTGTGAGAGGTGTGATTATAAATTAATAATAAAGCTCTATGTCACTTTATCTTTTCCTTCATAAAGTTGTCAAACAAATGAAGGGGGTCAGCAAAGGGGCAAATGTGCCTCTTTAAAAGTGCACTGACAAATAGGAGTGAGGTAATGCACCATCGTTGCTTATAATCATGCTTTCATTACTGCTAATGTGATCATAATGACACCATAATCAGCTCCCTAATTGAGCGTCATTGCAGAGAATGCTAGTGCTGCATGTTAGTACAGATGGCTAATGTCACCGTTACTTAAAGAGCAGTGGGTCATAATTATCACATTGGATAATACAGTGAAGAGGGAATTACTGCATCTTCTTGTGATGGTCCAGATTTAAACCAATGAAAACCCTGTATAAAGCTGATTTGAGCACTGAATACACTAATTATAGCTTTATTTGTGAGATCTTAGATCAGCTCTAACCAGATGCCTTTGTTTATTTTCAGGTGGGCGTCCCTGGCTCGGTGTAACCAGGAGCATCTGATAGTAACAAGTCTGATAATGAGCTGTCTTATTATCTGCTGAAAACTGCTGGAACAACCTCCGAAACTGATTCTGCTCTCAAGCGAAGCCACATTTTTATTGACTCTACACACAAACAGACAAATCCAAACCTACTCAGAGTATTTCCTACCTCTTGCTTGTCAAGTTTCCGAAACAATCAATCATCCAGAAGGAAAGGAACAGATGGAAGTGACTTGTTTCAGTATTCGACAGTACTGACCTACTTATCAAGCTCCAGCTCGAAAGGCGAAGAGAAGACTTTACATTTGGCAGGCGACCTTACAAAAAGGTTATGAGCTGTTTAATATTCAGCTGACCTCTGCATCTAATTGGCAGCAAGAAAAACACCCACATACGAGCTCAAACCGTCACACACATGCCTGACTGCTGTCCGCTGTTTGTTTGTAACACTCATCACATCACAGTTCAATGGCACAGCACCCAGAGTTTGAAAAAAGCTGAACCCAAGTGAGCATTAGAAGTCCATCTGCAATCTATCATCTCCCTCAGACAAGACTGGTATTGACAAAGAAGAGATGTTTGTGTGTGTCTGTTTGCATTAGGAGGAGCTGGTGTCACGTTCTGTAAGCTGTGATTGAGAGCAAAGAGGAGAGCTGATGTGGCAGCGCAGCCCTGATAAATTTGAAAATTACCTCCCCAGGCACGGCCGCTAAAATAGGAAAGAAACAGAGCATCGTTGGCCACGTGCTCAAATGTGTGACACAGACAAAGTAGTCCACATTAAAAAGTGTTTGTGAGCGTACGTGTGTGTCTGTCGCATTGTCAGAGCAGATTAGGGTCAAACCTCTCAAGGTCGTTTTGTTTTGACTGACAGATTTGGCAGTTTAAAGTGGCCACTAGAAGAAAACATATGACGTGGTCAAAACACGCACAGCTCAGACAAGTACATACCATTACTGACTATTTGTCTGCTATCTTCAGCTAAAAAGGGCCCCCAGTATAAAACTTGCAAACTGTTGTCTTCGCGTTTCCTCAAGATCACCTACAATGAACACCTTCTCCTCCTTCTCCACACCTCCACCGAACACGCCGACCATCCATTCGGTGTGTAAGCCCTGTCTTCGGGCCCCGTGGAGGATGAACGATGTGGCCACACTCGACTACGAGTTGCTGCTGTCCCCGGCCAGCTCCTCCCTGCCCGGCAGTCCTGGCGGTGGCAGCAGCAGCGCTCCTCTGGCCTTGGTTGCGGTGGACACAGAACAGCGTACTGCCTTGGCTTTTGTAGGCCTCCTCATGCTCTTCTTGGTCTTCCTGCTGGTCAGATGCTTCAGGATCCTGCTGGACCCATACAGCCGCATGCCTGCATCATCCTGGACTGACCACAAGGAGGGGCTGGAGAGGGGTCAGTTTGATTATGCACTGGTGTAGGGTGTGGACTTTGTGGGGGTGGGAGGGGTGTTACATAGCACACACACAGACAGACTCTAGAGAAGGGGCTTCCATACTGTTGGATTTCAGCCACTTCGTCTTGGTGTAAACATGAGGCTGCAGGTCTCTGCAACTAAAACAAACATGGTTCAACATGAAGCTCCACCTGCAACAAGCCAATCCCTCAGACTCTGGAGCACGAAGGACAGAAACCATGAGCTGCACAGCTGCCTTAACCTGACCTACTGTAACCCTCAACCATACCTAAAGAAATAGTTTGGATCTTTAAATGTGGGGTTTTGTGGAAAGGCTATGAATAAGTGCTACCAGCTGTTTGAATTAGCTCCATTTGGAGAAATGTAGTTTAATCTTGAACAATTGGCGAGCTAATAGCCAGTGTAAGTGAGACTAAAGTGGATTGCGGCCTTCTTAACGCTTCGCCAATCTTGATAGTTTCCGTTTATGCAAAGGCTTTATTATTCACCTCTAAACAGTAGCCAATTTTGCATTATAACATGATTATATTGGCAGAAATGTTATAGTATTCCTTCTAAAAGTGCCAGAGGATGCACCAAAATTGCTACAGCAAATATTTGTGCTAGCAAACTGAAGTTGTAATTCCATGTAAATAACCATATAAAGCTAAATTGACTGCAATAGTGAGGTTTATCCCATAGGATTTATACAAATTGCTATAACAGTGATCTGAATTCTGACAGAGAAAATAGCAGATTCCTGACCAATGCCAGCCTTAAAGTCCAATATGGCTGACCTGACAAATAAAAATTATATAGTGAACTGTTTAGTTTCACTTCTGTTGGTTTGCTTTGCAGTTATCTCATAAATCCTGTTCATCAAATTGCCACCAGTGCTGAAATTTTTACACTGGAATTGTTTAAAACTAACAACAATCCACATTGGTCATAACCCTGCTCTGACTATTATCTCAATAGTCCAGTTAGAACTTAAACTTTCCTTCTCCGATCTGCGCTCATTCAAAAAGCCATCTACAGCAGGTAAGATAATTGTTAATAACACATCCACAGAACCACACTTGAAAACATCTGAACGTTCTCTTTTTTCCCAGCTTACAACATGATTTATAAGAAGATTGCTCACAACCTCATGCTGCGTTTTGTGAAAACTCCGTAACACAGGCAGATAAAGGAACTCAGGTGGAGGAGTTTACATTTAAGCAGATGCCCCTTTAATAAAGTAAGATCCAGTTTAAAACATCTAGGTCTCAAGTGCTGATATTCACTTCTTTTGTGCTGTTTCTGATCCTCGAGCAGGTAGCGTCCATCAAATCTTTATCGTGTATATTTGTCTGTCATTGTGTCTATAACTGAGAAGCCATATAAAAAACAATATCCTCCCTTATTACTGCAAGTAGAGTTTTTATTTTTTATTTTTTGACACTTCATGGGCTTTAGAGTGCCAATGAAGCGAACCTTTAGGCAAAAAAAGCTTTATTTTTCTATTCTCGACTCAAGTTTGAGAGTCTCCTTTTTTCTATCCTTTTGTCTCTTCCTCTTAATATTTAAATCTTCAGACTGTAGGTTTTTGAACTCGTCATGCAGCCATGTATTAGAAGAAACTGATAGCTTTGCTGTTTTGTGACTGTATTTTTCTGATCATCTGCTTTGTCTTTGATACGCGGGGTTAAAACAGTAAAATAAGATTCTCTTTCTCAATAGCAACTCCTTGATCTGGTAGCAGGACCGTGTGGATGGTTCACTGTTCATGATGGAAATAAAATCAAATGCCAGCTACTTACCATTATGATGTTCTTTATTTTGCTTTTTGTGTTTATAATCAAGTGTTTAGGGAAAAAAAAAACAGCACAAGGCATACAAATTTAACCCACAAAATTTTATTGCTATGAATGTCACTGAACAAAAATGTACAATATTAGGTGAATCACTCTGATTTTGCAGACTGCCATTTGCTGTTAAAAATCTTTGGTTTCCATCTGTGCATAAATCTTTACTTTGATAAAAGTTGCATCATGGCTCATCAATATTAATCTTTTAATTGTAGGTGCGACTAGATGATTGTCATCAGCTTTGGGTTAAATTCCTTTATGACCTGGTATAAAGCTTACGGTATAAAAACCTCTTGTTCCTGGTTTTCAACAAAACTGTAAAAAATGGAGATGACAGTATTCAAGTTTGTCACTGAAACTGGGTTACAGTAAGCACACGCCTTTTTATCAAAGTGGTAAAAAAAATTACAAATTGACAAAGATACAACGTATACACAACTTTTCCTGCTAGAAAATGGCTATGTGTCATAAAACTTGATTACTGTAGGCTGTGTAACAGTGCAGCAAACCTGAATGTTAAAGGAAAAAGCGCAATATTTAGCACCGTAGATCCCAGCATGGTTTGCAAGTACGCCATCATATCATTGGTTTTGTACAGACAGTGTAAGTTCCCTGTATGTAAGACAACAAATGAGATTTTATTTTATTTTTCCTTGCATTGAACAAATTTTCCAACTCACATTATGGTTTATTTTGCCTTTTTGGAGTGGGGGATTTCCTTCTTTAACAGTCAACAGCACTAAAACATTAAATTTATGTTGCCATGACAGTGAAAATCAATCAAGTTTTCATTAAAAAAATATACAATTCAATTAAAAAAGAGGCAAGTTTGACAGACAGTACAAAAGACAGACATACGCATCAATAAAACCTTGCAAAAAGTCACTTCTGCAATCCAGATTCAAAACTGCACTTGCTTTCTACAGCATAAGCAATGGGATGTTGTAGCACCGCTTTTCTCTTTGAGAGAAAAAAATATTTACGAGTAATGGATTATGACCTGACATTCATTTATTGTGAGGTTTAGTGTTCACCTGCGCGTGCCCTTTCTCTCTAAAGCAGTACTTTTAGTTACAGCTCCACACACGATGTACCTTTGTGGCCGAGCCTCTGCTGCGTCGTAAACAAGGCTCGGTCCTCAGGCGTCATGCTACCAGTAAAGTCAAAGAAGTCAGATAAAGTCAGTTTCATTTTAGCTACATCTCTGTTCTCCTGGAACGTTTAAAAGTTCTTAGAAAATCCAGGGGAACATACATTTCTCAAAGCTGAGATGAGAGAAGAACATGACTTTTCACTTAATATTAAACAAGCTGGATCTCAGGTCCAGAATCAGTGCACCTGAGGTCAAAATCCCTTAAAGAACAAACACAAACTCAACCTGATCTACCTTCTTTTCAAGTCTACGAGCTATTAAACGGTGTTTCCCAGCCCGTGATGGATGCTGCAGGACGCTAGCACCCTCTTTTGTCTGAGACAGCATCACAGCATGGTGTCCACACTCAGCGGGAGGTACTGAGGTAACCAAACATGACAGCACACACGCAAACACGCTAAATCCCTGCATCACACTGCCCCATGGGGCAGGAGCAAAAATCAGTCACATCACAGCAGAACACGACCTGCAGGCTGTTCTCCAATCTGAACATTTGTGGGCTTCCAGCTAAATAATAACAGAGCGTTATGAACTTACGAACCTGAAATGCTGTGTAAATGTTGCAGTCTTTTGTGATGAACATTTTTTAGAGAATCTAAAAACAATAAATGACATACTACTATACTATGAAGTGTTGTGGTTTTCTTTACAGGATCACAGAGAGGTGAAAAAGCTTTTGGACCAGTTACACCTTAATTTCACATCTTTATACAAACAGAAAGGTTTTAAATGCAGACCTTCAACTTAAATACTACCATACACATTGGATAAAGACAAGCCCTGTTTAGTGGAATTTCTTTCTATTCTGATTTATGAAAGTGGTACATGGACGGAGCATGTCCGCTGCTTTTACCAAATGAGATGTTGTGGTCCAAACACAAACGCACCACTTTGCCATCTAAAGAACGAGAGCTGGTCAGGTATAAGTGGAGTCAGAATAATAAAAAAAACTAAACAAAAAGCATAGATCATGAACAAATAACTTGAAGACTAACAAAGCAATGGTAGAGTTGGGCTGATATACTCAGTCTTTGATAGTCCTGTATTGCCCCCTAGTTGGTTGGAGGGTCCTTTGAGTGGAGGGGACTGAAGAAAGAAGTTATTGGGTTAAAGGTAAAGTTCAGTCCGGAGCAGGATTGCACACACTGAGCTCAGTGCAGGTGGATGTGCAGCTTGATGCGCAGGGCGTCTCCTATTTCCCCTCGTAGGTAGTCACTGTCATGCTGCTTCTCCAGCTGATGCAGTCTGCGTGGCCCAAACAGAGGCAGGCTGGCAATCTCCAGCCGGTAAGATCCCGGCAGAGGCGGCCTCTTGCCAAGCCGGAGCACGCTCTTTCCGTCACGGCTTTCAAATATGCGGAAGTGTTCGTCAGCGTTGCCGTGGGTTATGATGTAACGTACGTGGTGCTCCAGGGGCTGCAGGGCAGGAAGAAGCTCCAGCAGAGGCTCCTTGTCGAGTAGTGAAGCCAACGACATGTTCATGGGAATGGACGCCTGTGTGTCCACACTGGCCATGCTCACCTGCGGTTCCTATAAAAATTATAGGAACAAAGTGATTACTAAAAATTCTCACAAATCCAAAGCAACTCACTTTAAACCCCTAATGAGAATCTGGAGCACAAATACCTGGTTAAGCTCATTGTCACCAGTGCTACGCTTCTGTCTTCCATTCTTCCCTCCTCCGTTGATCTTGCACTCGTAGCAGGCCTCAGGAGAAAGACTGTCATCCTCCTCACCCTCCACAAGCTGGCCTGGGAAACCTGAGCCTGTTATACAGTGACTGCAAGGACACAGACAGACAAATTATTTCCAGTTCAGCACATCATGCAGTGACACAAGATGCAATCTGCTGAATATTCTGCACTCTCTTACCCCTGTCCTGCTCTGAAGAAACCACCTGGACAGCCACACAGGTAACCACCATCAGTGTTGGAGCAGCCATAGATGCAGGGGTTTGTGCTCGTTGTACATTCATTCACATCTTGACAGCCGCCAGTATTCTGCTCATAGTCAAAGCCAGACGGACAGACGCACTTGAAGCTGCCCAGTGTGTTGTAACAGGAAGCCGAACCACAAACAGTGCCACCCTGACACTCGTTTTCATCTGCAAAGATCAATAAGAAAAGTGTGAAGATTCAGGACAATGAGAGCATCTATAAAATCTCAAAATTCATGTTCAATAATCCAGGTAAAAAAAAATCCAACAAAGTTCAGTCAGGTCATTTGGATGGTTTCTTTTTTGTTGTTGTTGAGACATTTTGTCCTTCATCCAAAGGACTTCATCAGTCTGAGGAGCCACAACAAACTTAGTCCCACAAGCAGCACTCCCATAGTGGACCAACCAGTATGCTGGTGATAAGATGGTTTCTGGGGCCCGCCCTCTCCCCCGGCGACTCTTCTGAAGCAGCCGTAGCCAAAGTGGTTCAAAACACGACTGATGAAGTCCTTTGGATGAAGGACAAAACGTCACGTCTCAACAAAAAAAGAAACCATCCAGAGGGCCTGACTTTGTTGGATTTTCTACCACCTGGATTATTGAGCATGAACATTGATCTTTTAAACCACTTTGGCTATGGCTGCCTCAGAGGAGTCAAAAGGGGAGAGGGCGGGTCCCAGAAACAATCTTATCACCATCAAACTGGTTGGCCCATTATGTGAGTGTGCTGCTTGTGGGACTGAGTTTGTTGTGGCTCTTCAGACTGATTAAGTCTTTTGAATGAAAGATGAAACATCTCAACAAGAAAAGCAACCGTCCAGTTGACCCCACTGAACATTGTTGCATTTATAAAACCGTTCAAACTTTAAATTGCTATAGCATCAATACCAAATTGATACTTCCTTTCACACCGTACACACCCCGGGATGTTTCTACTTTGATGACTTCTGCGATGAAAAGCTCAAACTAACTCACCCACGCATTGGTTCCACTGGTAGTGCTGCACGTAACCCTGAGGACATCCGCAGCGGTAACCTCCCAGCATGTTCTGGCAGCCGTGCTGACAACGATGGTTATTGCTACATTCATCCACATCTAAGAAGGAAGAAATTAACTCATTCAAATCAACACTTTCCAGAATTACATGAATGATGAGCAAGAATGACACCTCAACTTTCTGAAGAGAGCCACTGTTTTTAAAATAAACAACTGTGTCAAACTCAAATGTAAAATGTACATTTTAGTATGCTCACCCTCACACTCCATGCCTGAGCTGTCCAAGGAGAAACCTTTAGAGCATTCGCAGTTGAAGCTTCCAGGTGTGTTGACACAAGATGCTCGAGAGCCACAAGCACTAGTCTGAGCTGAGCACTCATTGTTGTCTGCAAAATGAAAAAATAAAAAATTGAGCTAATGCTTATATACCTGTTAAACCCACATATTTTGGTTATTTTCTATTATTGTAGGTGGCAACCCCCCCTTACTGAACTTGAACTTTACAGCTTACTCTTATCCTAGGCTGATCTGTGCGTAGACTCACCAATGCAGGCGGTCTGATGCTGGGAGAAGCCGGGAGGACACTTGCAGGTGAAACCTCCGATGGTGTTAACACAAAGGAACTGGCAGTTGTGCTGTTTCGTTGAACACTCATCCAGATCTTAATGGACAAAAAGAAAGATGCACAAAACATAATGAAGCCTAAAATCATCAAAGCTGGTTAATAGAGCAACATGTAAAGCCACGCGTATTTGTTATACTTATAATAGATTTTGCAGGTGGATCGAGAGAGCCCAGTCCTTAACAACCCTTTGTAATTAGATGCAGATGTTAAACTGAGTCCTGTGAGCATTTACCTTTGCATGTTTTTCCATCTGGTTGGAGACTGTATCCCCTGGGGCAGGAGCACAGGTAGCTGCCTTCAGTGTTTTTGCACAGGAAGTTACAAGGCTTCGGAGACAATGAGCATTCATCCACATCTGAAACACACACAAAATGAGGCAAAAAAGAAATGTGAGGGGATGCTGAAAACCAAGTTTAAGAATTGAGGAAAAATTATAAGCGATTTCAGCATTTATTGTCATTATGACTGAACAGTCTTACCAACGCAGGCAGTCGCAGTGAAGTCGGCTTTGTATCCTATGTTGCAGTGGCAGCGGAACGATCCAATGGTGTTTATGCACTGACCGTTGCGGCACAGATCTGGCAGCACCTGACACTCGTTGATGTCTGAAAGATCAGGGGCATTTCTTTAAGTGATTTGCTTTAAACAGACTCACATTTCAACAAGTTAGCAGAATGTTTGTGACAACCGGAGCTCTCCATCTCACAACTTTGATGTATTTTTACCACAACAATAAAACATCTGGTTTAAATTCTATGTATTTTTGTCTCACCTCTACCATCTGTAGTGTATCCAGGTCCAAGTGGGCACATCTTCTTGTACTGTACGGTGCCGGGGAGTGGGCACAGCTCGCACTGGGACCCCCAGCCTCGACCCGCATTGCAGCAGCACTCAGACTTGGTCACGCTGTTCCTGTTAGTTGACGACTGTTGGCACATTGTTGACAGAGCCTCTGTGTAACAGAAGCCTTTTCTGTTGTCTTTGGGAATATAATGAGAGAAACAACACATGCAAATAGATTTATTTAGGACTTTGGGGGGCATTGATCATAATAAATGATGACTAAATAACTAATACGGGAAAACAGCAGGACATTTGGAACAACTTAAAATCTTGTAACATTCCTTGAGCTTTGTGCATAAAATCTCATCAGAAGCAGAAGCACATTTATTTTCATATGTATTTTCATTCCTGCAGTGTCCTGCAGCAGGATCTTTATCAGCAGCCGTCTTACCAATGCATTCAGTCCCAGTTGAACTTGGCTCAAAGCCATCATTGCACTCGCAGCGGTAGCTTCCCACAGTGTTGATACAGCGACCGTTCTTACAGATGCCAGGTTTGGCACGACACTCGTTCAAGTCTGCAGGACAGAACGGGGATGAAAAGAGTAAGGAGGAGCACAAAAAAGACTCTGTGCTACACTTGAGTATATTTACTCACCCATACATCCCTCTCCATCTGGCCGTCGCTGCATACCAGGAGGACAGATGCACATGAAGGTTCCAATCAGGTTCTTGCAGGTCATACCTTTCAAGTCGCAGTCATCCAGACCCTCGGAGCACTCGTCCTGGTCTGTTGAAAGATAACAAAATGTGATCATCTAAAAAAACCCTCAACATTTATTTCTGAGTGAGTTCTAAACTGTTTGTAAAACTCGGGCTAAAATCACATTTTAATACGTTTGTATCTGTGTAAACCTTGTTTTAAACATTGAACGAACATCTTCATGATTTGCACAAATTTTACTCGATGCAGTTCAAGTCACAGTTTGTGATATATGCCAAACAAAATATTTATTTATCTTTTTAGAAATATGAGTTTGATTTCCTGTTCCTCGAGGTACACTGTGGGGGGGTGCTCCGTGAGTATGGGATTGGGGGCCCATTGCTACGGGCTGTTTGGTCTCTATACAAGCGGTACAAGAGTTTGGTTCACATTGCCGGTAGTAAGTCGAACCCCTTCAGGGTGGGAGTTGAATTCCGCCAGGGCTGCCCCTTGTTACAGATTCTGTTCATAACTTTTATGGACAGAATTTCTCGATGCAGTCAGGGGGTGGAGTGAATCCGTTTCAGTGGCCTCAGGATTCCATCTCTGCTCTTTGCAGATGATGTTGTCCTGTTGGCGTCATGCCGTGATCTTCAGCTCTCACTGGAGCGGTTCGCAGCCGAGTGTGAAGCGGCTGAGATTAGAATCAGCACCTCCAAATCTGAGATCATGGTCCTCAGTCAGAAAAGAGTGGATTGCTCTCTTCGGATCGAGGGTGAGGTTCTGCCTCAAGTGGAGGAGTTCAAGTTTCTCAGGGTTTTGTTCACGAGTGAGGGAAGAATGGAGCGTGAAATTGACAGATGGATTGATGCAGCGTCTGCAGTGTTGCATACTCTGTGCCGATCCGTTGTGGTGAAGAGGAAGCTGAGCTGTAAGGCAAAGCTCTCTGTTTACCGGTCAGTCTACGTTTCTCCATCACCTATGGTCACAAATTTTGAATAGTGACTGAAAGTATGAGAAAGTGGATACAGGCGGTTGAAATTAGTTTCCTCCGCAGGGTAGCTGGACTCTCCTTTAGAGATAAGGTGAGAAGTTCAGTTATTTGGGAGAAACTCGGAGTAGAACCGCTGCTCCTACACATCAAGAGGAGCCAGTTGAGGTGGTTCGAACATCTGGTAAGGTTGCTCCTGGGCACATCTTCGGGTATGTCCGACTGGGAGGAGACCCCGGGGAAGACCCAGGACACGCTGGACAGACTGTGTCTCTTGGTTGACCTGGAAACACCTTGGAATCCTCCCAGCAGAGCTAGAAGAGGTGGCTGTGGAAAGAGATGTCTGGACCTCCCTGCTCAAGCTGCTGCCCCCGAGACCTGACTTCAGAACAAGCGGAAGATAATGGATGGATGGATGGAGTTTGATTTCATCATTTACAATGTCCTAAATATGTCTTGTCAGCACACAAACTGTATAACATTTCTATGAAATACAATTTAAAGTCATATCTATTTTTTTAAGATTCAATCTGCTAGAAACTTATAAGTTTAATAAATCTTGATATAAGTATATTCACAAGAGTCTATTTTCATGCCTCAATTGAATAAACACAAAGGATTTATTGTTGTTGTTGTAACCACAAACTCAAGTTAAAACAAGCAAAACTGAATGAAATAAATGTAGTCCTAAATTTAGCCACGAATATTCAGGTCTAAATAAGAAACAATAAATCATGTCTACTGTTCATTTAGAAAGATTACAGTTTTTAGTTGTGTTAAATTATTGAAGAGTATTGTTAATGATCAGAAATGAATCTAAAACAAAGTTGGAGAAGTAAAAGTAAGAGCATATCTCTGATACGTTGTACCCCCTCACCTCTGCACATTCGTTGGTCATCCCGCAGCACATATCCAGTTGGACACACGCACTCATAGGAGCCAAACATGTTGACGCAGCGGAAAGCACAGAGCAGAGGATTCTGGGAGCACTCGTTTATGTCTAGAGTCGAGAAGAGAAGAAGTGAGGTTTTAATTTGCTGTCATTTTTACACCACACTAAAATAATATGACCGTCTCAGCATGGGAGCTGCGGACCTTCACAAGTCATCATAGGTCCAGGCTCAAAGCCCTCATGGCACGAACACTCAAATCCGCCCACCACATTGGTGCACGTTCCATTTCCACACGGGTTTCCAATGGAGCACTCATCAGTGTCTGAAGAAACCAGAGAGAAGGAGAAAAATTTAAAAAAAGTATACTTCAAATCAATCACATCTTTGGACTGAACTTTGGATCAAAAAGCCTAAAACAACCTAAACATGTGTTTATTTATTAATACTAAAAGATTATTCATTGTGCAAGTTAATAGCAGAAGTTTTCTCACCAATACAGTTGACTCCAGTGTAATCCAGATTGTATCCAAAGGGACATTCACATCGGAAAGAACCATCCGTGTTGATGCATATGCCATTCTGACAGATTCCAGGGTTATCCAGACATTCGTTCATATCTACACACAAACAAGGGAGAATTAGCCTATAATTCTATCAAACAATTCTATCAAAAAGTCCTTCTCTTAATTTTTATGTTCAAGGGGTAATAATATTGTTGCAACCCTCACCTTCTCGAGTATCGCCCAGTCCAGGCAGAGCTCCGTGACCATATGGACAAAGGGTGTTAAAAGCAGCTGGAAAACCAACGGCCACCAAACGCAAACAATTAGTTTTCATAGTTTACATGGTTCAACAGAGATAGGATTTTTCATTAGACTAACTATGGTACTGAAAAGGAACCTGGGGTTATTTTTATTCTCATCAATTAAAGATGAATAATATAAAGTTCTAGCTTTATGGAGCGCTTTTTTATAAGTTCATAGTTTTGTCATAGTTCATAGTCAAAGAGTGCACTTTCTGAAACGAGTGTATGTATTGCACACCATCAGTCTCTCGGGGGCACAGCTCACAGGGAAGACCCCAGCCCTCCCCGGGCATCTTGCTGCAACAACACTTGGCCTTGGTGGTGTTGAAGGCTTTGGGGACGGAACATTTTCCCCCCTCAAACTTGGTGAAACAGAAGCTCTCTCTGGTGTCTGTCAAGAGAAACATCGCCTTCCAGTCAAATCATAATTCAATTACAATCTTCTATTTGGCTTCATGTGGGTGTTAACTAACAGCTTCTCTCACCGTAGCAGCGCCGCTTGTTGTCAGAGAGCACAAAGCCCGGTTGGCAGGAGCACTGGAAGCTGCCGGGAGTGTTGGTGCAGGTGCCAAACTGGCAGATGTTTGGCTCTACATCACATTCATTGATGTCTAAAGAGAGAAGAGAGAATGACAAGTAAGAGTGGGTGTGTATGCTGGAACAGACAGCTGTGTCACTGATGTGAAAACCTGCAGCCATTGAAAGGCGATTCTTCATTTGCGCAGGTTTATGTCTTACCTAAACACTGCTCATTATGCACTTCGTAGCCAGGAGGGCAGATGCATCTGAATGATCCATCCAGATTCTGACAAGTTCCTGGGGAGCAAGTCCCAGGTAGGCTGATACACTCATTTATATCTGTGAAGAAACAAACAAACACAATTTCTATAAAATTTCATAGGTGTCACTTTTTTTTGGTCATTTATGGCATGAATAAAAATTACCGATGCAGTTCTTCCCATCAGGTGTGTTTTCATAACCCTCGTGGCAGAGACACTGGAAGGATCCAAGCCCGTTGATACACTGTCCGTTTCTGCACACTTGGCCCTGAAGGGCAAAGCACTCGTCTATGTCTGTGAGGTAGAGATGAATTTTTGTTTCAGCAGCAAGTCAAATGCACAAACAAATCGCAGAACAAAATTTATAGTGTCCGTTGGCGTCTACGGGAAATCCATTTGTAAAGCAGAACAGAAAACGGTTCCTACCCATGCAGTCGTTGTTGTGCGTGAGCTCAAAGCCGGGGAAGCAGAGACAGTTGTAGGACCCCACTGTGTTTTTACAGGTGCCATTACCACAGGGCTGTCTGTCACACTCATCAATATCTAAAACATGAACAAATACATTTAATGTGGGTGAAAACATTCTGCCACTACATTTGAATTTATTCAGTTGAACTAAATGTCTAAAACTATTGTGTGATTTTGGACAGCGCTCCTCACCCATGCACATCGTCTGATCAGTGGTGGCTTTGAAGCCGTTGTGGCAGAGACAACGATAACTGCCCTGCGTGTCGATACACTGACCGTGGCTGCACACGTTAGGAATCTCCTGACACTCGTTACGATCTGGGAGGGAAAACAGTTCAAGTTCAAGAATCTTTATTATCCCCAAGGGCCAATTTGTTTCAGTCATTAGGCACACTAAACATCTATACTAGACAAGACACTGAGACATTAAAATAACAATACATGAAATCATCATTGTTCGTTGAGAAGCCCGATGGATACATGGATGAATGAGTTTTTCAGTCTGTCCGTCCTACATCTGGGCAGCAGATACCTACGTCCAGATGGTAGCAACCTGAACTCACCATGAAGTGGGTGATCAGGATCTGCCAGAATGTTATGTGATCTGCCAGAAATGTTAACAACTAGAAATTTTTTTCATTTTTATTTGTTTGCAATTGCATTTTATCTGCAGGAATGAGTTTATTTGCTTTGAAATTCAAATTAAATCTCATTAACTTGGTTATATTTTCAAGTGCTTAAGTTCTTGTGTTTTTGTCATAAAAGGGATGAAAACTGTTAGACGTTGCTTCAAACTACCTCCTTGGCTTTTCATCATCAGTTTTAAATAGCGATGTAGAACAGGGACAGACAAAAGGTCTGGACAATAATTAGAGAATTTCAGGTTCAGCAGCTCTTTCTAATGAAGGAGGGATTTAGGCCTTTTTTTTTTTTAACTTTGTAGACCTTTTCTTAAGACAAAAATAAAAAAAAAAATGGAAAAAGCAAAAGAAAAAAGGAAATTATAAATTATATCAGGCTATTTTTGTCCAAAAAAAATCAAATTGTATCAAATTTTAACATATGGATGTTTTTGTCACAATTAAAGTAAACCCTCGGCTGCTTGAATTTTATGTTGTGCTTGTTGTGTGCAGAGTTTTTCTTTTTTCCTAATTTGCCAAGATGTGGGGATTTTTCTAGCTTTGCGTTTACTCAAAACCTGTTGTAATCCTGACTCACCCAGACAGGCCCCGCTGGGCGACAGTTTGAATCCCTGCGAGCACTCGCAGCGGTAACCGCCTGGAATGTTGATACAGTTTGCGTTGCGCTGGCACAGGTTGTCCCCGCTGTTACATTCATCAATATCTACAGCAAAGGGAGAAAGGGGGAGAAACAACGGGCATTCATCACAGACTCCATAACTGTCTTATCAGAGTAGGCTGTCAGATTGTGGACAAGAAAAAAATTCTGCCATTTTGACTCTGGTAAGACCACTATCAGGATGACTGATGGTTCTGGTGGATCCCATCCAGAGACAATACACTTGTCTTTACAAGGATATAATTCATATTAATACAGCAGCATTAACTTCAGTGAAGGAGGCGTTTGGAAAGGGAAGTGAAAGTCATTATGTTTATGTGCATGAGTGTCCATGCTTTTATTTGTGTGTTCGTACATGTTAATATCATTAAGATTATAAATAGAAGTGTCAGAAGACAGTGTCATGTGCAATATGAGATGAATTAGTACAGGCAGCTGCTCTGTCAAAACAGGAGTGACAGCAAAGGGAGGAAAACCTCTGTGTTTTTTTTTTCAGACCTCATACCAACCTTCACATATCAGCAGTATGTTGTTGTAGCTGAAGCCCATTGGACATTCGCAACGGAAACTTCCGATCTGGTTGATGCACACTCCATTGGCACAGATGCCAGGGATTTCCCTGCACTCGTCAATATCTGCAGAAAATACCAACAAACAAGATTTTGTATTGAACGTGTTTTGAATTTACCAACAACAAGTTTTTAAATGTTCACCTTCAACAGTAAGGTTATGTAGGTTTAAATTCAGAAAAACAAGCAACAATTTTATATTATCTTACCAACTGGTTTCCCAGTGTGGATGTCAATGATGAAACCAGGAGAGAGGTTACCACACAGAACCTGATACTGAGCTGGAAGAATCATCACAAAGGAGATTTGTTCAGGAATTAAACTCACATTTCATTGAAAAAATTCCATGTCAAAGTTTTATACAAAAATCTTATATACCATAATCTGTTAGTGGGATGGTGGTGTCTGTCAGCTACTAAAACACCAAATATTTAGCTCAAAATCTAAATTGACCAAGTTTTAATCGTATTTGTTTTGTTAAGATTCATTAGCTATGTTGTCAGTCTTGAACTGGATTGACTCAAAAAGGGATCCAGCTGTAGACATGCATCCAGTGGTTACTTTCTGAGACTTACTAAAATTTCTCCACTGGTTCACAAGATAATTTGCTGACAGACAGGAACAAACACAAAAGGCAATCACAATATTGCTTGCCAGCAGGGCTTAATTTAAGCTGGATCCTGCCGGAACAGGATCAGGGAACACACTTATTTGACAGGGTGTGTTCTGGTAACTGTTTGCTTGGATCCGGTAACTCTCAGGCTGACTAATAATAAAGTTATGAACAAATTTGACTACCTTGAACGAATAAAACCTACAAAGCATTATGGACATGTAATCTGAAAATAATTACATAAACACTAATTTTAAACATAACAGCCACTTACGAGCTTCCTATACAGTAACACATAAGAGCTGTCCCTTCTAGTAAGCATTTCCGCTTATACCCTTAAAAAAATCTTCGCCCCTAAAAGTTCAGTCATGGGCAATTTAATTAAAAACACAAAAATATAAATAAACAGCACAACTAAATTGCAAGTCAGTTGTACAATTTAAGTGGGTCATTAATACAATTTTGATTATTTAGTAAAAATACAAGAGAAATGCTTGATGGGTAATCACATGACTACATCACGTATCAAACCAACGATGACAATTTGTCAAAATAACAGCAATCAAAATCTCAAAAAGACAGTCCAGTTTACTTTCATTAAAAAAAGGTAAACGTAGATGTTTAACAACCCGTTAAAATACACCAGAATTCAGGAAATGGCATCTACTTTATTCAAGATTTTCTGGATGAGGACCCCCCCAAACACCCCACCAAAAAATTAAAATAAAAAATGCATTCCAGCATTGTTTGGTTAACAAATAAGCACTGATTGCCAGGATATATATATATACTGTATATATTTGTCATTGTTTCAAACAGATATTTTAGAGTATGTTTTTTAGGTTTGGACTAAAACTCACTGGTAGCAGGAGTAGGACAGGGCTCGCAGGGCTTATTCCAAGCTTTTCCCACGTTGTAGGCGCAGCAGCACATTTTCTTGGTCATGTTGAACGACAGCTCGTTCTCACACGTGTCGTTGAAGTTGCGGTAGCACACACTTTTTCTCATGTCTGCGTAACAAGGTGAAACTACATGAAAAATCTGCTCCATGCTTTGACACTTTTGGAAATATAATGATTTAATGGGGTGCGTCTCTCACCCATGCAGTTGTTGCCTCCATTGACCTGCATGTACTCGGGGGGACACACACAGGTGTAGTTGCCCAGAGTGTTGTAGCATGTGCCAGGCCCACAAATGCCAAAATGAGCAGAGCACTCGTCAATATCTGGAAATAATATGATAAAGAAATCAAAAAGTAAGAGAAGCTGAGTATTTTTTTTCTTCAGTATTAATTCAGTTGGTTTAAAAGGAAAGTTAAAGGAAATACCTTCACAGATGCGTGTCTCTTCATTGAGATAGTAGCCTACTGGACATTCACACTGGAAACTGCCAAATGTGTTAATACAGTTTCCACCCTGGCAGAGACCCGGTAGTTCCATGCATTCGTCAATATCTACAAAAGAATTTGAATAATTAAATTCACCATTGCCCGTTTTGTCATTTTAAAAACATTTTTCTGTTTTTTTTTTTAAAAGGCAAAATGGCTTACCTTCCAGAAGAACAGTGATGGGGTTGGGTCTGAACCCCTCCCCTCCTGGACAGAGAGTCTTATATTCCGCTACAAGGCAGAAACGTGAAAAAGAAATCAGTTTCTCCAATGTGACTTTTGTAAAAACACATCCATCAGTTTGCAGGCATGCATGTCACAGTCATTACTGGCACTAAATAAATGTGTCGAGCACCATTGTATTGCAATATTTATTATTTGAAGGAGTGGACTGAGTGCTTGCAGTGCTTACAGGAGTTGGATGTGGGGCAGAATTCACAAGGGTTTCCCCAAGCTTTTCCATCAGAGCAACAGCAGGAAGCTCGAGTTACGCCCACGCCAATCTCTGCGTTGCAGGAGATTCCTCCGTCGCCACGGGGAAGGATATCCAGGAAGCAGTTACCCACACGAGTATCTGAGAGGGAAACAAAATAAAATGTGAGTGTGTTACACATTTTACAGGCACACAACTGCATGTTTTAGGTGGATTTATGCACACCTGCTGTATGGCTATGATAGGTCTCCTAATTACATGGCAGCCAGTTCGATGCCATACTCTTTGTGCCACATGCTATTTTTAAACTGCATCATCTTTTAGTTCATGACCAGATTAAACTCTACAGCTGTAATTTATTACAGTAAGCTTGTGGTCTTTTGCATGTTGTCACAATACTCTTATACTTTTTTATTCTCACTGATTTTATGATTCTGCAATGTAGAAGACTATAATATCAGCACCATAAGCATACTTACCTTACATGGGAAAAATACAAGAAGAATTAAGGCTCATAAAAGTCTACTAAACAGCCACATGATAGCAATTTAAATTGAGTACCGTTTGAAGAGCATACCTCAAACAGATAATTCATAAGCAACTTTAAATAAAACTACATTGCACAATCTAATTCTTGGAGGGCAACACTGGTTGCCTTCATTTAAAGCTTCTTATCTGTAAAACCTCTGCATGTGACTCACCCACGCAGCCCACTCCAGTGGGGTTGAGCTGAAAGTCAGTAGGACAGTTACACAGGTAACTTCCTGGTATGTTCACGCAGAGTCCATTGAGGCAGTTCACATGAACAGCACACTCGTTAATGTCTGCAACACACACACAAACACACAGTTTTAAATGGGTCAATTTGTTAGTTTATTTCTTGTCATAAAAATTGCATTTTTTTTCCTACTACACAGTCCAACAGTTAAAAAAGGTGCTAAGTGTATTGTTATCTTTAAAAAATGGAAAAATATACACGACAAAACCACATCCTGGCCTCTGTTTTGCTACAGAGCAAATTTAACAACTGAGAAAGCAGATGAGTTTTTAAATCACAAATTACAATTTAAAAAATATATATATATTCTTGATCAAAGACAGTTTTCAGATGTACAATGTTGGTATAGCAAGAGAATGATGAGGTCTGAAATAACACATTAAGTCAAGTTCTGTGTCAGTTACCCGTGCAGTTCCCTCCACTGCGGTCCAGTTCGTAACCTTCATCACACACGCAACGGAACATCCCTGGAAGGTTCTGGCACGTTCCGAACACACAGATGTTCTGGAAATTACACTCGTCTATGTCTGTGGCAAAGACAGCAAAACAAAGGGAAATGTTTAAGCTAAAGTGAAGCAACAAAGGAAAAACGAGACCAACAAAACCGAACAGAATTCAGGGTGCCAGACTGAGCGCAGCACCTTGACAGGCCTTGCTGTCCTCTGTAGGAGTGAAGCCCATCTCACACTCGCAGCGATAACCCCCCGGAGCGTTCAGACACTGGCCGTTCTCACACAGGTTGACATTGTCTGCGCACTCGTCCATGTCTGAAACACAGCGTGCAGGTGTTTTAAAGTATAAAACAGAAGATTTATGCTTCTATTACTCAAAGTGCCGTGTAAGTGTAATGTTCACCCCATCAGGACAGTTTTAATGTTCTTACCAGAGCATGAAAAACCATCTCCGTTGAAGCCTTCTTTGCACGTACACCTGTAGGACCCAGGTGTGTTGACACAGTCGGCATTGGGGTGACAGTTGTAGTCCTCAGAGGAGCATTCATCATAATCTGCAGGAGAAGGAAGATTAAAGAACTCAGCAGTAGAATAAAACAGCTACATCTCCAGGCTTTTGTTTAAAACTCAAACTCATATTTAAAAACCTGAGACCCTTTGAGCACCGACTCACCCACACACTTGATGCCGTCTCCCACCCAGCCGTCTCGACAGCGACACTTGAAGCTTCCCGGCACGTTGATGCAAGCAGCATGCATGTCACAGTTATGCGCTCCGATCTCACACTCGTCAACATCTGGAAAAGTTACAAGCAGCAGCTAAACAGTCAGGACGTAAGAAAAAATATCAACTAGATAATCTTTGTAAATTACCAGTAAAAACGTTTTTGAGGCACAATGATGCAAAATAAAGATTTATTACAGAATATAAACAAAATATCATGATTCCATCATTGCATATGCTGTATAACATGAATAACATTTATACATTATTTTTACACGCAGATTAATCCTCAGAATAAAAAATAAATGTGATATGCAAATTAAGTGTGGTAAGTTCTGGATTAAGGTTTAAATCCATATAACCTATTGTTGAAGTTATTTATTTAGTAAGTAATAAATAATATTTATATAGTAAATAAACAGTGTTATATTTTTAATAGGCCAAATGAGTTCACTGGGGATGATCCTTTGTGTGAAGTTTTTTTAATCTCATATATAACTTAATATTAATACATTTTAAATAGATATACTGTATATATATTGTTACAATATATATACAGTATATCTTCTACAATCTTCCTAAGTAAAAGGTTTTCTAGAAAAAGTCTAATTTTACAGCTTTAAAAAGAAAAAAATCTTTAAAAATCTTCCAAATTCACGAAAACAATCAATGTTTGTGTTCAGGTCTGAATCAGAATGCTCCTGCAGACCCACGCTCCAAACGGCTCCGTTTTATTCTGTCTGCGGTGCTGCTCTGTCTGCACCTTGTTCAGTTCATCAGAATCAGAAGAAGCTTTATTATCATCACACCGAGATACTCGTGACTAAACAATACATTTTTTTAAATATAGCTCTGAAACTACTGCATGCATGGATAAACTATTTTGACACTTGGCTTAAATTTGGACACATAGAGGCCCAGTTCTCTTAAGAGACAGATCCTCCCCTGACCGTGTGTGTGTGTGTGTGTGTGTGTGTGTGTGTGTGTGTGTGTGTGTGCGTGTGTGTGTGTGTGTGTGATGATGTACCGGTGCAGCCCGTGGATCCCTTTTTGACAAAGTATCCCAGCTGACAGTGGCAGATGAAGGAGCCTTTGGTGTTCTCACAGTCACCGTGGAGACAGATGTTTGGGTTCAAATCACACTCGTTCACATCTGGGCAGACAGGGATCACACAAAATGGTTGTCAGAGTGACACAAAACAAGTGTGACAGAAACATGTTCAGATTTATATTTGAAAACAGACAGAGGATGAAGAGGTCAGACAGAAGAACATATCATCCTGACATAAAATCTGAATGAGTTCGAACAGATTTAAAGGTTTTGTTCATCCTCTTACCGATACAGGTCCTCATGTCCAGGGAGGCCATGAATCCATCGAAACACAGACAGCGATATTCTCCAGGGATGTTGGTGCACTGGCCTCCATCACAGATGTCTGGAGTCTCCTCGCACTCGTCAATATCTATCAAATACGCCACAGAAAGGGTTTATAATTAGGCTACAAGTCTTCAGACGAGTGTTAAAGTCTATCAAAAGCACACACACGCATGCAAGGTGAAATATCTCCTTACAGGAAGTGATTTGAATTCACGAGTAAAACATGTTTTATTACCAGAGCATGTTCTGAGGTCAGGCATTAGAGCATAGCCCTCACTGCAGCTGCACTCGTAGCTGCCCTCCGAGTTGGTGCAGTGGGTCTCGCATCCTCCGTTCATTATGGTACACTCGTCAATATCTGCAAGGACAGATCATCAGCACACTAAGATCCCCGTCCCAGAGAGAACAGGAACACAAAAAAATCAAACTTGCTGTTTGGCTTGCATAAAAAAGCCAGTTATTAGAAATAATATATTTGTGATAAAACTTTTACTCATCTTACCGACACAGCCCTGGCGGTCTGGTGTCGCCTGGTAACCAGTGTTACAGGAGCACTGGTACGTCCCGGGCATGTTGACACACTGACCGTGTCTGCACAGATTCTCACTCAGCTGACACTCATTCATGTCTGAGGCAAACAAGTAGAGAAAATTAAACTTAATATTGGGTCGTCATGACAATGGCTTGATCAACTATTCAATTAATTAAATAATCAACAAAAGAAAATGAAATAAAAGAAAACTGTAGATTCCAAACACAAGCCTGTTCTCTTCACTTTGTTGTTAATTATGGAACATGGTGTGTAAGACACACAAGCATTAGAAGTGACAAAACAGGCATGAATTAGGCATTTCAACTCAAAACTGTTTGTCATTCTGAAGGTTTTGTTGTTCATTTATTTTCTTTTGTAGTTTGACATTTATTGCTGTATATAGATTAATTTTTCTGAGAAAAAAAAATCTGTAAAATAAATTTCAGCTCAAAACTGCAGCTGTGTTGTCTCCTAAAAATCAATTTATTTGGAGCTTGATACCACTAAAACTCAAATATTGATTCTTTAATTTTTTTCATGAACAAACTTCTTAAATACAATAATTTCTTTGAAAAATATAAATTATATATTTATGTTAAATTGTTCTCTTTATAATTCAATTCATGTTACTATTACAGATGTTTCAATATGAGCTAAAGAGTGAAAAATAATGCACTTTTTATAAATGCTTATCTGGTGAACCTTTTATGGAGTTTTCAAATTGAGTTAATTATAGTCTAAAATTTGGCGTTGGAAGTAAGAATTATTCATGCTTCTGTGCAAACTTCATTAATCTTGAGTAAAAAGTAAAGAGCTATTCCCCAATTGTTCATAAATTTCTCAAATTTTAGAATGCTACTTTCTAAATGATTTTATAAAAATCCATACATTTTATGCACATGTCCGGACTTTATGCTTTATCACTGCGTGGAAATAGGATTTCTGCATTTAGCTTGATGCCTTGGAAGGTCTTCTTAAATAAACAACCTCTGCTCAATTTTTATTTGCATCAGACGGTTAACAGACAAAAACTTTATTTTGTGAGCTGTTTCATATTATTAGGGTTATTCATAATGAGTAATAATGTTTTTTTTAAAGAATAAATATGTTGCAAATATGCACAATTAAAAACTAGGTAAAGTTTATTTGTGTTATTTTAATCTGAAATGTTCCTTGACAATTTTTTGCTATTTTTTTAACTAATGCACAAAAGAGAACTCACTTATTGTTCTTAAGAAACTGATGTTGTTAAAATGAAACCAGCTTTTACATGATAGTGTAATATATTCAATTAGCCTTTAAGATCATCCAGTATGCAAATGGACTTTACTTACCGATATATAACCCCTTACTAGCTAATCAAGATACTTAAAGCTCTTTACAACACAATCTGTGCCCTCGTTTACCTCCACACACATTCATACAGCACTCTACTAGATCTCTACAGAGCTAACAGAACAAATCGTTCTTTAGAGACTAATCAGCGCTTTAGATCACATGATAGGACTCACATCGAAGGCAATGAGGGGTTCAGTATCTTGCATTAGGACACTTCAATAGGTGACTGGATTGTTGTGGAATTGAACCCCCAACTCTCAGATTAAAGGACAACTGCTGTAACCACTCATTCACAGCTGCCCAGTATGCATGCTGATTGGTTGGCCCACCTTCGCAGACAGATGCGTCACTGCTGAGCAGGTATCCAGGGGGACATTCACACTCGTAACTCCCGTCCGTGTTCAGGCAGGTTCCTCCGTGACACAACAGGGGGTTCCTCTCACATTCATCAATGTCTGTCAGAAGAAAGGCGGTGAGGAGGGAAAGCAAAATGAACAAATGAATCGTGCATTATGTTTTGTAGATGACTGTGTTTCAAACTCACCCATGCAGTTCTTCATCATCATGAAACCGCTTTCATAGCCGTCAAAGCACTCGCACTCGAAGCTGCCGGGAGTGTTGACACATGTACCGTGACCACACAGGTCAGGGGAGATCCGGCACTCATCAATATCTGAAACCCAGGACACAATGAAAGGAAACTAACCAACTGTTAGCTGTGTATTCAACCGTCACTAGATCCACTCCTCCTGCTAAAGTCCGAACCTGTGCAGTTCCTCTCCTCAGCTGTGAGAGCGAAGCCGCTGTTGCAGCGACACTTGAAACTGCCAATTGTGTTTCTGCAGGTCCCATGGGTGCACAGACCCTGGAACACCTTACACTCATTCACATCTAGAAAGAAATACACACAAATATAAGATATTGTTTTTTTAATATAAGCTCAACTCTGTTCTAATGGAAATGGATGCCATGGTACCTTTATAGAAGGCCCTGCCAGTCAGAATATCTCCTCTGTTTGCGAAACCTGGACCTCTGGGACATATGGTGTTAAACTCAGGTGTCCCTTCTTTGGGACACTCCTCACAGTCGACCCCCCAGGCGGCACCGACAGAACAGCAGCACATATCCACACGGTATCTCCCTGACAGTGGCTCGCCACACTCATCCTCATGCCATTTCTTGTAGCACTGCTCACTGCGCATGTCTATAATAAAACATCATAGATAAACAAAGTAGCATTTGTTTTTACATTTGGACTTCCTGTAGCAGAGACAACTAACTGTCCCAGGCCGTCTTACCCACACACGTGCGACCGCTGCTGTCCAGGGTCAGACCTGCAGCACACTCGCAGCGGAACGAGCCCTGCGTGTTCACACATCGCCCATTCGTACACAAGCCAGGGAACACCTCACACTCATTAATGTCTGCAAGGAAAATAGCATGTTATAAAAGTACAATACTTTTAATGACAAATGGGTGGAATGACAGTCTTACCTTCACAAACAAGGCCCTTCATGCGAGCAAATCCTCGAGAACAAGCAGTATCTGAGGAGACAGACGTTTTTTGTTTGAATACAACTCATCTTTGCCTTTAGGTCTGCCTGTTAGCTAAATATTTCCTGAACCACTGAGCACATTTAAATGAAGCCTGCAAGAAGTAATCTCTGGTAGTACATGGCTATAACGGTTTTACAGATATTGACCTAAAATATACTGGGGTAGTAGCTGATCCAACAAAGTTCAGTCAGGTCATCTGGACGGTTTCTTTTTTTGTTGAGACGTTTCGTCCTTCATCCAAAGGACTTCATCAACCTGAGAAGCCACCACAAACTGAGTTCCACAAGCAGCACACTCACACAGTGGACCCACCAGTTTGCATGTGATAAGATGGTTCTTGGGGCCCGCTCCCTCCCCGTCAACTCCTCTGAGGCAGCCAAAGTGATTCAAAACATCAAAGTTCATGCTCAATAATCCAGGTAGAAAATTCAACAAAATTCAGTCAGGCTCCTCAGATTGATGAAGTCTTTTGGATGAAGGACGAAACATCTCAACAAAAAAAAAACCATATAGATGACCTGACTGAACTTTGTTGGATTTTTACCTGGATTATTGAGCATGAACTTTGATGTTTTGAACCACTTTGGCTGCCTCAGAGGAGTTGACGGGGGAGAGGGTGGGCCCCAGAAACCATCTTATCACCAGCAAACTGGTTGGTCCACTATGTGAGTGTGCTGCTTGTCAAACTCAGTTTGTGGTGGCTTCTCAGATTGATGAAGTCCTTTGGATGAAGGACGAAAGGTCTCAACAACAAAAAAAAGAAATCGTCCAGATGACCTGACTGAACTTTGTTGGATTTTTACCTGCATTATTGAGAAAGAACTTTGATATAGTAGTTGATATTGTATGAGGTCTTTATTTAAAGTTTGACCAAAATTTCTAAAACTCTCATTTCTCAACACAAGATGATCTTAGTCTAAAGTTTGAGGAATATTAAGCCTTTATTTGTCTGTAGAGATCATTTCGCTTCAGACTCGGGTTTAAATAACAGCCCAGTGTTGCCATCATGTTCTGAAGTGTATGTCAAGTTCAGAGAAGTGCTGTTTGTTAATGTGTGTGTGGGATCTGACCGATTTCGCAGGGTTCACAGGGACTGCCCCAGGCCGCTCCCAGCGTGGAGCAGCACTCCGACTTCAGCGTGGCTCCGTTGATGTTCACCTCGCAGCGGTTGTCTTGTATCGTGAGCCAGCAAGTGCTCTTCATGCTATCTGTGGAGCCAAAGAACAACAAGAAAAGCTTGATGAAATGTGCTCTGTTGTGTTTTCATGGAAACAAACAGCTCTGTTTACATCGAGTTTTCTGACAAAGTAGCCTAAACAAAAAAAAAAAGCTAACAGATTGAGTAAATGCATTTTGTTTCAGCCACATGAAACATTTGCCAAATAGTTTTTTGATGTTACTAAGAACAAGACACAAAACAGAAACAGATTTGTTCATCGGGACATTCAAAAAAGTTCAAGACAAAAACAACTGGACTTTGTTTTTGTAACAGAAGGCGTTTCTCGTCTTCATCATCATCATCATCATCATTCACAGCGCCAGACGTGGTCAAAAAGTCAAACACACTACAGTAAACTTGAAAACTTGTATCATCTTCTTCTATTTGGAGTTTTCTCTAAGTTTTGTTAGTAGCTAAATGTTTACTTTAGTAAAGTACAAAATAAAGTATACATTTAATTCCACTACAGTTATGCTGTTGCATTTATAATAAAAAGAAAGATTAAGTCATAAAACTGACACACTTTTCCCAAAAACCACACAGCCACAAAACTAAAAACAATTTACTTTTCCTCCAAATCCTTAAACAGAAATAAACTAAACCAGACTAAATTTTGGACTTCTGACAGAATCAGTTTGTGCAGTAAGTATACATATTTTTACTAGTTTTCTATTCCACAGGAATTCTACACTGGCATGTAGCTTTTTGACAACAATGATTTATCCCAAAAGAAATGAAGCTCCAAAATAAATGCTCATTTAACTATGACAGGGTGTCTCACATCCCACGTGTCATTAAGGATCTGTTGCAGATTCCAGCGAAGTAAAATGTTCTCCATATGAATCAAGGCCGGGGATGGAAGTATTTATCTAATGAATCAACTGTGGGATCATCTGAGGACAATGCTGTCTCTGAATGGCTGCTGGGATGTTGAGCGTATCAGTGTTTGTTTACAATAAAAAAAAAAGATTCAACTTTAAATTAAAAAAGACTGAAGATGTTTGCAGCAGTTAGTTACCACCTGTGGCTGTAACCTCATGAAGGCTCTGATGTGATCGGCCTCACGTCTTACCCACACAGATGGTGTTTGTAGAGTCCAGCTTGCTTCCATGAGCGCACTCACAGTTGAAGGACCCGGCCACGTTGCGACACAGTCCGTTAATACACGGGCTCGACTCACATTCGTTTATGTCTGGAACGTGCAGACATACAAAACACACACACCGTAAGAAACCATTTTGAACTACAGAAATTGCATTTTCTACAAAAATCCAGTAAGAAAGCTGACTGACTTTTCTGAAATTTGTTGAAAAAGACTAGAAATGATTTGTGAAACTATAAAACAAGCATTAGCTTTCATGAGCTTTCTGTATAATAGACACATTTTCACTATCTGCTAACATTAGCAAATGGATAACTAAAAGCTACATCAGCAATATGTTAACTAACAACAAACATAACAAAAGATAAGCAAAATGTACAATATCAAAAGCTAGTTAAAAAGCAAAATGATAGCTAAAAGTTAAAGTAACAAAATAACTCAAATACAAAAGTAGCTAAAAGCTAGTTAAATGCAGCATTACGGTAGCTACAAACTAAAAGCAGCAAAAAACTGTCAATAAGCTAGAATTAGCTAAAAACTAGGTAAAATCTAACAGTGATGGAACAGTAGCAAAAAAGTAAAGGTAGAACATAATAAAAAGTAGAGTAAGTATGCTAAAGCAGTTTTCAAAATGGATTTTTTTTTTTTTAATTAGAGTGACATGCATGAAAGTATAATCAAAAGACATGGAATCCATCTGTTGAATAAGCTGAACATCTGCATGATTAGCTAAAACAACCAAAAGTATGCAGGAGTTGGTTGAAAAAACAAATAAAAAAAACCCAACAAATAAACAAACATACAGGACAACAGTAATGGGAATGCTCATACACGTTTTGGTTGAGGAACGAATGTGACTGAATGAGCGCTCACCTTCACACGTCTCTGAATCGGGTTTAAAGACGAAGCCTTTAGGACAGGAGCAGGTGTAGGAGCCGGGAGTGTTTCTGCACAGACCGTTGTCACAAAGCAGCCGGTTCACCAAACACTCATTGATGTCTGCAGGCAAAACAGAGAAGAAGAGGGTCATAATTATTGATAACTGACTCAAAACAGTCAGTTACCTGCATGAAATCTAATGACTTCATTTTCTAAATGATCAAAAAACGACAAATCATTTAATCATCAAAAAGATCAATAACTCAACTTTCTTGTCCATAACATTCAATGAAATGGAGATTTGTCTTTGACATCCAGCTTATAAAAACAACACAAGCTAAAAATGTGATTAAAAAACTTTAAAAAGCTTTGCTAACTCAATTAAAAACAAACATTCACTTAAAACCATTCTAAAATACTTGATACATTAACATATGGAAACATCCCAGCAGACAATGGTTTGTCATGTGAGGCTGTGTTTAAATAGGACCTTGTTAAGTACATTCACCACAGAGGGAACAAATGACTTATTGTACCCATTTTTCTTTGCTAAAGGAACCAGCAGTTCCTTAAGCAAAGAAAAATGCTAAACAAAGTTTTATCCATTTAACAAAAGGTTGATTGTTTCATCATCCTGACGCTTACAATTCATTAGGTCTTCAAGATGATGTGAATTAAAAACTATTTTGTTTGTTTTTTAAGTTCTGGATCTGCCTGCAGTCTAAATCACCTCCTAGAAATATTTGATGCATTATAAAATAAAAATAAAAAACTCCAAAAGAGGACGAAATTATGTGTTAAGCAATACCTGAATGATAAATAAAGAACCTTGAAACTTGAATCTGTACTTAGAATTTTTTTCTTTCTAAACAATCTCATACTTAATGTTATCTTTATATTTTGGGCCGTTTCCAAAAGACAATTGTTGCAAATTCCTTTTGTTTATAACCAACTGTATTTTTTAGAAAAAACATTTACAGGTACACACAATTAATCAGAGCTGGGCTTTTTTTTTTAGCACATTATTGTTACACTCTTTAAAAAAATGGTCAAGGTTAAATGGACTGTACTTATATAGCACTTTCTATCTAATCAAGATCCTTAAAGCGCTTTACAACACGATCTGTGCCCTCATTGACCTCCACACACACATTCATACAGCACTCTACTAGACCTCTACAAAGTCAATTGAACAGTTCATTCTAAAAGAGACTAATCAGTGATTTTAGATCACATTCATACACTGATGGGACACACATCAGAGGCAGTGAGGGGTTCAGTGTCTTGCCCAGGGACACTTCAACATATGAGTGTATAGTGATGGAATTGAACCCCACTCTCCCACTGGAGGACAACTTCTCTAACCACTCAACCACAGCTGCCCCTAACAGAACAGAAAAGATTGCATTAAAAAAAAAAAAAGAGAGAGAGAGAGACTACCGGTAATAATTTTTGCCAGTGTTTCCATGATGTAAAAATATCAAAGCTCCCTGCTGAACCTTCACCAACTGCGTTTCTCCCAAGTATTTCTAACTTGAGTTGTGACCACAGCTGCAGTCTCAAAGGCTTTACGACACTTCACGACAAGAAATCAGCAAACTTTGAAATCTAAAGAAGCTTTGAAGCAAAGACTGGCTCACCAACACAGTTCTTGCCACTTGTGTCTGACTCGTAACCGATGTTGCAGATACAGCGGTAGCTTCCTCGGAGGTTTTCACACATGCCGTTCTGACAAATGTCTGGGTCCAAGGCGCACTCGTTGATGTCTGGAGAGATCAGAGTTGTTCCAAAGATGTTATTAAAAAAAAAAGAATGTTCCAACATTAGCCATTATGTTTAAGAGAAATGCATTTACCTCTCCCATCAGTTGTGATTCCAATTCCACTGCTGCACACAGCCTGAAACTCAGCTGAAAGACACATTAGAAGCAAACTGAATTTGTTGAATAGGTCTTATTCTTCATGTGACCCTTAAAAGGACCAGAAAGCTGTGAGCTGGACTCTACCTGAGTTTCTGGATGGGCAGGGTTGGCAGGGCTCCCCAAAACCATGTTCAGGACTCGCACAGCAGCACTCTGACTTGGTCACTGCCCCTGGGAACGGACGCGAGCACGTGCCCATCTTTATAGTACCATAGCAGGTGGTCCTCCTGTGCGTGTCCACACACACTCGTCCATCTACGTCAACGGCCAGGCCCGGTGGACACTCGCAGCGGAAGGAGCCTTCGCTGTTGATGCAGCGCCCGTTCATACAGATACCCGGTGTCTGACACTCATCGATGTCTGAGGTGAGAGGGTGCATGTTACGTCCTCAACATTACAGAGTAAATCCAGTTACAAACAAGTAAAATAAAAATAAAAAATCCACAGATTTGTTTGAATAGGTAGGTGGAACAAAAAAGGTATACAAAGTTAAACAATGTACAGCAAAAAAAACTCTACTTTGCACAGAATAAGCATAAACAAGCTCCGTAAGTACTGCAGAGCATTAAAGCATAAAAAGATAAAATTTGGTTGGAATTCTGAAGTAAAACTGAGCACAACTAGGTTCTAAAAAAAGCCATTATTGGACTTCAAGGACTAACAAATCAGCCAACATTGTTTTAAAACAGCCTCTATGACGTTTTCCTAAAGCTTCAGGGACTGTGCCGCCCTTACCGGTGCAGTAACGTCCGTTAGGAGCCAACTCAAAGCCGGGCTTGCAGATGCACTTAAAGCTGCCGTCCTCGTTGATGCACATGCCATTGAGACACATGTTGGTAGTGGCACACTCATCGTGATCTGTATGGAGCAAGACAAGTTTAAGGAGTTGTGTATAGGTGAAAATGTATATGAAATTCAGCCTGTTTTAGTGTTTTTGTTTCTCACCAATACAATTCTTTCCATCAGGAGTAAGCTCAAAGCCAGCGTTGCAGATGCACTGAAAACTCCCCTCTGTGTTGACACAGCGGCCGTTGCGACACATGACTCCATTCACAATACACTCATCAATGTCTATGAAAAGAAAAATAAACTAATGTTGACCCACTTGGACCCATAGCCAAGGACCTAAGATCAGCAGAAGGATTAAGAAATTAAGAACTTTGGACTGACGTACCAATGCAGGCTTGTTTGGTGGGGGTTCCCTGGTATCCCTCATGGCATTTGCAGTGGTATGATCCAGGTGTGTTGACACAGTCTCCATTAATGCATGGGTTACTCACACACTCTTCCACATCTATACAGGGGAGGAAAGAAAAAGGAAGAATTGATGTCTAAATGGACAGATGTAACTAACAGCGCCAAGAAAAGTGATTCACATTTAAGTAAATTCCTTCTGTAAGCGTCAGATCCCGTGCACTGACATAAGATGGCAGTGTGACACATGAAATAAAGTGCAGCATTATCAGTCGCTCTGAAAATGGTCTGAGAAAAATTGTCTTCAATGCATATTGAGATCATTCACAAGTGTTTTAAGCAATGTTCAAAAGTGATTAGAATGCCAAGGATGGATGTTGGTGTCTAATTTGAACAGAGTCTTTTATCTGCCTGACTTCAAAACAGGTTGAAAAGGATCGTGTATGCTTTTATTATTTTGTGGTACAGGTAATGCATATCTCTTACCAATACACTCCCCACGGACATCCTGCTTGAAGCCCATGTTGCACTCACAGCGGTAACTTCCATGTGACGGGATACAGCGCCCGTTCAAACACAGATGGATGAAATGTTTGCAAAAATCAATGGTTTCGTTCACAGAAGCAGCACCTTTTAAAAATACAACAGACACAAACCAATGAAAATACAAGACAAATTTCAGTTTATTTAGATAGTAGTGTTCATACAGAAATGAACGTCTTCAGAGAAACTCACCGATATGGTTCAATCCTCCTCCATTACCCCCAAAAGTCCCACCATTGCCCCCAAAGGTGCCTCCATTGCCCCCAAATGTCCCGCCGTTGTCTCCAAAGCCTTCCCCTCCTCCATTGCCACCAGTCTTTCCATTACCGTTCCCATTTGACACACTAGGTGGAAGCTTGAATCCATAGTTGCCATTGTTGTTGGGAAAATATCCACTAGGGAAGCTATGAGGAAGCCCATGTCCTTGGGGAACCCCCACAATACACAGTCGCCTGTACTCATCTTGTAAAGACAATAAAAGAGAAGAATTAGGCTTTATTTAGTGTGTTTGTTATAAATAATCTATATGTGTCATTTAAGTATTACTAACCAAAATATATTGAAAAAGGCTTTTTACTGATTTGGAATGAGAGAAAAAACACATTTTAGCTGCTCCCTTCTTCAGGGAACGCCACCGCAAACTAACTCGCACGAAGACTCTGCAATTGTTTTTACACCGGCCTGACACAACCACAGACCACCGAGCTACCACAGCCTTCTGTGTGGAGCAGAGAGCTGCCAACTAGGGCGCCCGGGGGAGCACATGGTGGGGGTTTAACGGCCTTGCTCAAGGGCTCAGAGTGAGGCAAATGAGGGTGGAGGCAGGTGTGGGTGTTTCACCTTTCCCACCCACGTTTTATGGAAGTTGAACCAGTGACCTTCCGATCACAGGCCCACCTTCTCCAACCTCTGCGTCACCACTCCCCCACTGAGAGAAACGTCAAATGTAGGCTGCAAAATGTTCAGGCGCTTCTTCTTCGAACGTTACTGAAAGTTTTCATACAGTGTGTCTGCAGTAATATTCCTGTATGTGAACGTCTGTGTGTTTATTAATACAACGCTACAAAGTCTTCATAAAATAAGTTAAGCCTGTTCTCTGTTTAGTAGCAGTCACTGAAAACACTGGAGCTCATCTTAGTTCAGCGCTGAAAGAAGGCATTCTTTGATCAGCAGTGTATAACAAAGACTCACGCACTGCTCTGAAATTACAGCCTAAATGAAGAGATGATGGATCACTGGATCTGTTCCAACGTTCTTTGGTTAGACTTTAATTTAATTCTCTTCAGCTTGAGTTAATGGTCTTGCTCCAGATTTGCAAAGTTATCTCTTTTTTTCCAGTGTCTGTGGTTTATTTGATGCTGTCCCCTCATTGGGGATGAGTTTAGATAGGTTTAAAATATAGATTTAGATTAAAATGAGTGTTTTCTATCCTGTGTGCTCACCTGATCCTCTGACAGGACACATCTCAGGGATATGGCCTAAAGCCCAGCAGCGACCCGTTTCACAGCAACACTGCATTTTGTTGTACTGCCCGTTCAGCTCTGCTGCACAGCGCCCGTTGGAGAGAGCAGAGAAACAGACGCCCACACGCTGATCTGAGAGCAGTCCAAAGAGAAGAACACACACAATTAAATCCAAAGCAGAGAGAAAAAAAAAGACAAAACATGAATGTGGTTAATTCTGAATCGAAATAAAAGCACAAATTGATGTAAAAAAAAAAGAAGATCTTGTGAAAGTAGACTTTTCTATAAAATTTAAGGACTAAAGTTTATTTAGTTTAGGTCACTCCAATTTTGTACGTAGCATTAAAAGAGGTGACTTTAGTCGACAGGAAATAACACGTAACTGGTGTTTCAGAAACATTTCAGTAGGCATTTGGCTTTTTTTTTTTTTTTCTTAACTTATTGTCTTGCTTTTATTTCCAGCATTTAGAATTTTACACAGCCACTGTAATTGGAAATGAAACTGTATTTTTAAAAGTAGCTTTTATGATGTTTATTTAAATCTGAAAGTTCCTGAAGGGACAAACAGAAGTTGATAGTTTCAAAAATCAAGTTTCCCAGGGTCATGAATGTTAAATGGACACTCTGCAAATAACAACAATAACAGGTCTCTCTTGTAAATGAGTCCCCGAGGCTCAATGGGAACTAACCTGTATAAATAAAGGTTGAATGAAAATAATCTACTGTTTTAAAAGTCTTTTTAAAGGAATTTAAGAACATTTTATTTTTACATTCACACAATTTCAATTGATGGAAATATTTATGGGCTTTCCCTCACCTTGCTACTCGCCTCTTGCCTCTGTGTGGGCTTATAACAAGAGGGGGATTACCTCACCTACATACAAGCATCACAAGAGCCCCCACAAAACAAGGAAAAGTATTTGTTACAGTTTTCCAGGTCAGGTGGACATGAGAGGGAGCTGGTGTTCAAGACTAAGACGTGAAAGGAGGTGGAGAATACAAAAGGTCGTTTGAGCAGCAGTAAACCTGTGAGTATGATTTTTAAAAGTGGGTGAGGAAATTTGAAGTGCCCCTCCAGTAAGAAATGGGGATAAGAGCGAAAAGAAAAGTGAAGTGAGTGAAGGGAGAGGCCCAAGCCGATTAAGTCGCTAATGAGCCAGCCGTCTGGAATTAATCAGTTCCATGTGGGCCAATTTCTGCCAGTTAGATCGAACATAAAGGGCCGTGCTGTGCAGCACACCAACATGTACAATCCCATACATATCCACCAGCGTGTACACAAACCACAAAACGTCCCATAGGAAAGACGAAGCTGGAGGTTTGGTGGAAGATATTGGGAACATAGGAGAGGGAGGAGGGAAGCTGCTGCTGCTGCTGATGATGATGAAGACCTAAATTAGATCCAGACTGCAGTTGGTTCGCTGGCGTTGCACCGCCACACATGCTTTCACTGGATGAGGTGTTTGTTCAGACTCACTAACTGGACAAGTTTTTTTTTTTTTTTCTATGTTTCCACCGTGTGACAGGGGAATTAGGCCATGATTACTGTTAGTTCCCCTCCCCCCGACACACACAAACACACACAGACGCGCATAAACATTACTTCACCACAGAACAGTTCATGTCACTGAACACTGGACACAGTAAACCCTCGAAACCAGAACAAACTTCCAGCTTTGAAAACACAAAACAGAGCCAGAAATCATTCTCATGCATCTTTGTTCTGAAAACAACAAAGAGCTCAAGGAAGATTGGTAACTAAAGTGACATTCATCAATAATCAAACACTCTTAAAAAAAAAGTTAAGTCAGGTCCTCTGGACAGATTCTTCATGTTGAAGCGTTTCATCTTTTATCCAAAAAACTATGTCAGTCTGACGATCTGCAATAAACTCAGCACCTTCTCACAGTGGAGCAACCAGTTTGCAGCTGACACCAGTAGATCAACATCATCAGGCCAGGACTCTGAGGTCTACACTCATCTCCAGACCAGCGGTCACACATTCAGGGGTTAAGATGTTCACATCCTTGATGAAGAGGAATGTTAGTTTGAAAGAGGAGCGAAGGAAGCCGTTTTTGTGAAGAGAACCCATCCATCGTTAAACGGGGCGGAGGCCTCCGTGTCCATTTGTCCCCCTCTTACAATGCTGTTATTGCTAATATCACTCAGCCCCCTGTGAATAGCAAGAAGCCATCAGGGCTGTAAGAGCCAAAAATGACTGTTATGTGTTGTTTAACTTTTATGGTGGCACAGGTGTTCAGATTTGTCCTACCCTTCAGCTAATTGCCTGAGGGGCATGGTCACATGTTACTTAGCTGATCTAAGTCATGTAACCAGGTGCTGGGTTAGCAGGTTTTTGTAAACTTTTCTGTAAACCCTTTTGAATGTCACCTTTTTTGATTGACATCTTTATCATCATTTTCAGTCATACAAGCAATGCAAATCAATACAGGTGCTGTTTGATGGATGGCAAAAGGTGTTAGTTTTAAAATAAATACGCAAAACACAAGTTGGACTCAGCATGGCTCATTGGAGATGTGTCACAGAACAGAACCTACGAACCTACGAAGTCGCTAGGGCACTAACGATCAGTCGTTAGGCTGATGGTCCTCCTTTTTCATGTGAACAACTAGTTTTTGGCAGTCACCAGCAAACTGGTTGATCCTCTATGACAAGGGGCTATTTATAAGACTGAGTCTATTGCAGATACACAGACTGAATAAGTTTTTGGATAAAAGAGAAAATGTTTCAACAAGAATAATCCATCCAGAGGACCTGACTTAATTTTTTTTTTTTTTCTACCTGGATTATTGAGCATGCATCAGGAAAAATAAATCAAACAGGTTCATTTAGTCTGTTTTTAAAATCTGGTTTGAGAGTTAGGCACACGTTGGATTGCTGGTTTGGCAGAATCAGGAATAAAAATCAAGAAGAAGCAAAAGGCAGATTGCACATTACCATGTAGAAATGAAAAAGAGAGAACCGAAGTACATAATCAGGGGCCTGATTTATCAATGGCGCACACTGGAACAGCACTTTGGTTGGCCTTGTCGCTGTTTTAAGTGCTCTATAAATAAAGTGGTATGGTATGGATTCCAGACACAGGTGTTTTTTCATTCAACCTTTATTTATATAGGTTAAATTCCATTGAGCCTTGGGGACTCATGTACAAGAGAGACCTGAGACCTGGTTGGGATGTGACACTTTGTTGAACAAATTTTATTCAGTGATTTGTATTCATAAATTGTTTCACAGCTGATTCTATTTAGTTATTTATTTTTTTGAGAAAATAGAGACACAACAACACAAGCCAAACTAGAGACTTCTTACTAAAATACCCATTCTGTAAATCCCAGCTGCAGGTATCCAAAATGCTCTCAGATCAAAATTAATACTGAATAAACAATGATTTTTTTTTATTTTTATCATACAGTCACTTTAGCATTGTAGAGTTTTGTTGCTTTTTGTTTTCCTTGGTTCACCAGATGTTTGAAAGTGATATGTTTAATGCTGACAGCCTCACATGCAATCAATGACATCATCTTTTGTTTCATATGTGGGCGTCTTTCATAAATTCAGCACAAATCCTGGTTCACTTTTTCCAAAACAAAACCCAGTTATTTTCCTTAAAATATTGATTCATTGGCTCTTGAAGTTGTAGCTGAACATCAGACTTGAGGAGAAAACAAACATGTCTCTTCAATTACAGCAGGCCTGGCTGCTGAGTCTTTTACTGGAGGACAGTCTGTCTGTCTCCCATAAATCTGAGATGATAAAAAAAAGCCGATCCTGAACTGTCCCATTTTAGGGGGAATATAGTGAAATAAAATAGCACCCGGCTTGGCTTCACTGTAGCTGCCATGTTGGGGGGAGCGCTGCAGGAATACATTAACACCTGGCAGTGTTTCATTGGACATGTCAGTGAGGTATGTGCTGTGTGTGAGTCAGAGGAGCGCTAACAGTGGAGTAGATTAATGCTGTCAAGGCCAAACAGTGCGTGCAAGTTTGTTTGCACATGGTGACCACAGGTCTGCAGGCCAGCTTCACTCATCAGAACTCCTCTCACAGGAAGCAGGGATGAAGGCAAATTTACCAGCCAGATGTGAAGCTCTTAGCTGAAGAAATGCACGGCCGAGAGCGAGAAGTGGTTGGGTTTTTTTTAAGTTTGTTTCTGGGTGACTCACCCACACATCTGGATCCGTCCGTGGTGGAGATGTATCCTCGCGGACAGGTGCAGACGTAGCTACCGGCAGTGTTAGTGCATTCTCCTCCATCGCACACGCCAGGAATGGTGCTGCATTCATCAATATCTGAAACACAGAATCACATCCTGAACACCTCACTTCACCCCATCACGTCATATCTGTTGTCCTTAACATGCTTGAAGTTTCTTTGTTTATGAAGACACAGTAGAGTGAGATTATGACACAGCTTTTAAGTAAAATGAATGAGTCCACAGCTTGCCAGAGGGGAATGATGTCACTTTTGTTTTGTTCTGTTCCGGCTAAAACTCATCAAGGAAACATGCAAATGACAGGAACAGCTGTAGTGAGTGTAGGGAGCAAAGCCACATCACAGGGCAGATTAACTTATTTTAAAATAAAATGAAAATACAGCCAAGACATCACACTTTAGCAAGCACAACAAAAAAATGTATTGCAATTAAAAGGTTTGAAGGTAATTTGGACTTGAACCAAATATTTCTTGCGTTTTCACTTTTAATTATGCCCCAAGTTTCCACTACATTCACAAATTCTGCAGTTTTGTAAAGAAGCAGTCCAAAGAACAGACTGCTGCTTTAACAAAAGAGACTAACAACTGCTGTGTGGTTACATGAAGTTGGTGGGTGACTCCTGAAACAGTCAAACAATCTTCTATCCATTTCAAGGCCAGCATCAAATCCTGCAAATACTGCTTTTCACACAGGGATATGTTCACTGGGTCTCAGTGACCTCCAAAGCCTTTAGATCCCAAGAGATCTATTGCTAACAGTACCAAACACTGCAGGAAATCTACACATGCTCTTTATTCATGCCTCGAGAAGGGTTCAAAGCCAAAGGAACGCTAGTGAATAGTGGTCATAACTTTATGGCTCATCACTGTAGGTGCAAAAGTATAACTGTCACGTTGACATGTTGTACCACGAATACTCAAGATTTTAATTTTACAATTAATCAGTTCATGGAATATGACATAATAAGTTGAGCAGTCTTGATTAACTACTTGTGGGGGGTGGTGGTGCAAGGTGAGCTTGTGATCAGAAGGTCGCTGGCTCAAATTCCTGGATCAACGACAAAAAACTGTGGGTGGGAAAGGTGAAGCACACTGCCTCCACCCTCATTTGCCCCACTCTGGGCCCCTGTGTTTGTGTCCTGGTCCCTTCAGTGTGTGCTCACATGTGCAATGGGAATGATGCAGATAATTAATTTCCGCACAGGGCATTAATAGAGTACTACAGTAAACATATATTTGACTTTTTTTAAAACTGATTTGACAAATACAGAGTAAGATAGCAAATTTACAATCAACAAATTGAAATGGCAACAGTTGTGATGAAGTAAACATCACATTCTATGGAGCCGAGAGCAGTGGTTCCCAACACTGGTCCTTGAGAAACACCAACCTGCATGTTTTACTTGTTTCCCTGCTTTGTTGCACCTGGTTTGAATGAATAGGTGATTAACCGGCTTCAGCAGAACTCGAGGAAGTAATTAAATCACTGAATCAGGCGTGATGGTGCAGGAAACAACTGAAAAATGCAGGATGGTGTTCCTCAGGGACCAGGGTTGGGAACCACTGGGGTAGAGGTAGGGCAGCCAACCTGGAACCAGAAAGTAGCAGCTCGACTCCCAGCCGTTCCCACATGTTGTGGTGTCTCTGAGCAAGATACCCAATCCTTAATTGCTCCCCGGGCACTCAATAGCCACCCACTGCTCCACCTGGGTGCATCCCAGGTGGAGTAGGGTTAAATGCAGAGAACCAATTTTGTCATTGTATGTTCCCATACAATGACGACAACATATAGCACTTATTAGCTCTTTTATCCACAGTGTGAAACTGAGTAATGTTTCAGGTGATGGAGAGCACATAGTGCTTAGCATGGCCCCTGTCTGTGTTAAATGAGATGATCAAGTTCTATTATTGTGATGGGGCATGGGGGAGAGGGACTTCATGGCCCCATGATGAGGAAAAGTTTCCAGAAAGTAATGGGGTTTTACGATGTGTTGGACTTTGTGCATAAATTTGAGCCACTGCTGGGCAAACACTCCTCGCATGATGCAGATGATATTGTGCTGTTCGCCAAAGAAGTGAAAACTTGGGAAGTACTTGTCTCTTTGAGAACATGCGAGTCATATCTGCGTCCTCTAGGAAGGTTCGTCTCTGCACCTCAATGAGTGGCGACGCCCAGAGCAAGAAGCCAGGAGGCTGTCATTTCCTGCTGACTCGTGTCTGGCACTGGCGGCAGGTTCGGCTGAAAAGCTCAGCCAAATAAACCTCGTGTCAGCAGCAGCGTCAACCCGCCAGACATTACTCCACGCTCAGGGACCGCCTGTGTGTGCTGAGGGAAATGTGTGTCACCTGGATAAACGTCTACAACGAGTTGCCTTGTGTTTCGAAACAGCAATCATCAGTATGTTAAAAAAAATCTCTTCTTACACACATTTTTTTTCCACTATTTCATCTACAGTGAAGTTGAAATGTAACAGCCAAATGAAACCTTCAGTACGTGTGTGTTTGTATTGTGTGTACATGAGAAGTTTCAGAGCTACAAGGAGGTCCATGAGAAAGTCCTGCAGATGCCTAAATAGTTTTTTCAGCATTGCCAGCTGTTTTGGGGAAAATGGATCATATTTATGAAGGAAAATAGATGAAGAAACAAAAAAAGGAGAGCCTGTTAAACACAGTCTGGTCTATAAAACCAAGTGGGTTGTTGCATCCAAAAACACCAACGACATATGAATCTTAACTGCTCCAAAACCTCAGTAATTTCCCCTGTGAAGCTCTCTGTGAGGTTGTTTGGTGCTTTGCCTAAAGTTGGCAGGCATTTCAGTGAAAGCTTTCCCCAAACGACATGGTCTGATTGTGAGATTTCACTAAACACGAGTTTTCTGCAGACCTAAGAACCTTCTCACAAAGGTGCTTTTGTTTTTAACAACCTTTCAAAAGACTATTTATTTATTCCCACACCACTCAGTTGGATAAGCAGAGTATTGACTCACTTCACTTTTCCTCTTAAAATTACAAATAAAAATAAAGAACATTTTACAAAATTTAAATCTAATATTTCTTAAAAACAATAGTTGAAGGGGGACTGGTGAATTTTCAAGATGAATGTGGGTCATTGTATCAGTAAAGCCATGTGAGAATTTGATCGGTTTACTCTTTACTTTAATTAAGAATGTAGCAAATAAGTTACTTCAATGAAATTAAAACCATCAGTTTTAGTTTTACACATGTTAAATATAAAAGCCCTTTTCAGTTCCAGCCATGAGCCCTCCATCCATTCTGTCTGTTTCTTTATTTGCTCAAGCTCAAATTCCACTGAAGCGAAAAGAAACTCCCTCCACATGTTGTTTCAAGAGGTGTTTTGTCTTCCATCACTGTAAATCTGACATTTGAAAAGGCTCCACAGTTTCTCTATTAGGTTTAAGTCGAGAAAGTAAAAGTCCTGGACCCATGTTTGATCATTCTGAAGCTCTTTGCTGGCCTGTGTGGTAAACTTGGATGCATGTGGAAGAGCATTGTCATGATGAATAATGACCATTGCCTGTTTGAATGCTGTAGATATTGTCTTGTAAACAGTGTACTGTACCAGACAGGTGCCACTTTGCTTGTACTGGTGCAATATTTTCAATGTTCTATTGTGTCGTTTTGACAAACTGCCCTGAGATCATCGAGGAGCGCGAGAGGGCGGTCCAAGACGTTTGGCATAATCCAAAATAATGAGTTGCTGGTGAGGAGGAGACAGGGGCCGTTTAAATACCAAACTGAGTGAGATTGAAAGTGGGAACACCTGGGCTGACTATTGATTGGGAACAGGTGAGGGTGGCAGGATGACTGGGAAAAACACTGAGGGTGCTTAATGAAGATAAATGGGAGAAGACACAAGAAACACAAATGATCTAAACTGAACAAGAAAATAACAGAACACAAAGGAAAAAGTAAAATCGCAAAAAGCACAGATACACCATTGTTATATCTCAGCTTCTTTATGCACTATCAAACAAATTGTCCCTTGAGGATAATAAAGATTCTTGAACTTGAATTGAGTTTAGGAGCATTGTATGAACAAATGATTGATAAATACAAAAATACTGCTCTAAAACCCAACATATACTGGACTGAAAATAAGTGAAAAAGTGGCTAATGTTCAAAGAAAGTTTGCAGCCGTGCAGAAAGTCTGGAAAACTACTGATCAAGACTACTTTAAAAACATACAGGCAAGCTTGGCTTCTTGTAAGGTAAATAAATAAGTTATGGCTTAAGACTTTTGCACAATGCTGTACCTTTAGACTTAATCATAAAGCTTTTGTCATTTGTTTATTTGTTTGTTTGTTAAGGCTTTTAAAACGTTGTCCATGTCATGAACACGTGGACTTTTAGACTTCCAGTTTGGTAGTGGTTTTCAATGACGTCCTTGTGTCCTTGCGTCCATTTTTTGCTTAGTTTATCAAAGACAAATATCAAACCTATGTTCTGTGCATGTTCAATTTAACATCATCATTTGTATATCATTGCAAAAATTCGTAGGTGGTTAATTCACATAGCAAATCTTTAGTTCTTATGTAAATGTCAATACAGTAGTCCCTCGTTTATTGAATGTAATCTGTACCCTGCAGCACAGTGGCGCAACTGGTAGAGCTGCTGCCTCTCAGCGAACAGGTCCATCCATCCATCCATCCATTTTCTTCCGCTTATCCGGGGTCGGGTCGCGGGGGTAGCAGCTTAAGTAGGGAGGCCCAGACTTCCCTCTCCCCAGCCACTTGGGCCAGCTCTTCCGGGGGAATCCCGAGGCGTTCCCAGGCCAGCCGAGAAACGTAGTCCCTCCAGCGTGTCCTGGGTCTTCCCCTGGGCCTCCTTCCGGTGGGACGTGTCCGGAACACCTCACCAGGGAGGCGTCCAGAAGGCATCCTAAACAGATGCCCAAGCCACCTCAACTGGCTCCTCTCGATGTGGAGAAGCAGCGGCTCTACTCCGAGTCCCTCCCGGATGATCGAGCTTCTCACCCTGTCTCTAAGGGAGAGCCCAGACACCCTGCGGAGAAAACTCATTTCGGCCGCTTGTATCCGAGATCTCATTCTTTCGGTCA